TTTAAGGGACAACTATGAAAAAGGTTTGATCATTGTGGAATTTTGTGCTACTGACAAGCAAATAGCTGACCTCTTTACAAAAGCTCTAAGTATAGATCACTTTGAAAGGAACAGATTAGAATTAAGTATGATTAAGATCACCCAAGAGGAGCAAGTTCTAACTCAAAAAATTGGTTAGAAAATTTGTGAATTTTATAGATTAGATTTTGCTCAGTCTCATACTTTCATCAGTATACTCTTGTACCTTGTGCTAAAATGTCTCATTAATCTCTAATGATATTATCTTTATTTTCTTGAAAAATTTAGACTTACACAAGAGATTTCTCAGTGAAGAACCTGGTTCATCAAGATTACTTGGTACGTACTCTCCACTCGGCATATTTTGGAATAAGTATATTTAGATTATGATCAAAATGAGAGTCACATTTAATCCTAACCTCCTTGAGCTTATCCGTTACCAAATGAACCAGTTTCATTCAAATAGAGTCCCGAAAATGCAATAAGTACCTAGATTCTAGAGAGAGTCTTCAACGTCTTTTTAAACTGACTTCCAGTTCGATTAGACTTCTGAAAAAGCTGTTGTTACCCAATTAAACTCTTCCTCTTTAAATTGATTAGGCCTTAGTTGTTTCTTCACTTCTAATTCACAACCGTCAAACAATTCTCTCCATCTTCTCTCATCTTCCAAACACACACACACACACACACACTCATCCTCTCTCATACCCAAACACTAAATGCAAACCCTTCTTAGAATCCCTCATCACCACCCAAGGAAACTATACCCACACCATCCATCACACCTCAACCACACCCACCTCTAAGAAAGGAAGGTTTAAGATGATTGCTCGCAAGGTTGACGCTGGAGGAGAACAAATCAAGAAAATTAATGAAAAATTGAAAGCAAGTCGAGAAGAAGAACCCCAAAAAACTGATGAGTCATTCAAATCTGCTACTGAGGGGGAAGAAACTGTTTCTTCTGAAATAGAGCAGGTAACATCTGGTCCGAATATTACTTCTGAAATTATCTCTGAGTTTGCTGCAAATTTTGAGAATAGGTTTGTTCTAGTAGGAACGGTGGCTGGGGTTGAGACCACTGAGTCTGGGAGAATAGGTGGTAAAGATAAAAAGAGAAAAGAAAAGGAGATTAAGGATTCTCAAGGTGTTGTAAGGGGTATGGGAAAAGGAGTGGCTGAACCTTCACCCGCTCCTGCTAGTTTGACTGAAGAAACAGGAGCAATGGTAGTGTGGAGCGAGGAATCTGCTGGAGAAGAAGAAAGTGTAAAAGAAAAAGAGGGAAGTGGATCTGGAGAAGCTGCTGAGGGGTTGGTTAGATTGGGGAAGAATGTTCAAGAACATGTTCCATCTGAGCAGGAACCCCTCGCAGACCTACTGAAAAAGGTGTCTGATAGTTACAATCCTAAAAAAAGGAGTTCAGGAGTCAAAGTCCCTGGTACTGCTAGGAAAAATAAGAAAAGAAAGGTTGCCTCGTCTATCCCTATAGAGACTCCTCCTACAGGAGGAAGAGCTACAAGGAGTCAGAAGAAGCAGAGTGAGGCTGAACTGAAAAAGACCTTAGAAGAAAGTAAGAAGAAAGTTGTTGCAAATGAAAAGAAGAAGGTGGTTGAGCCTGTTGAGGCAGTTGAGATTGATGAGATGGACCTGGTCCTTTGTGATGAAGAGGAAGCAGAAGAAATAGAGGTTGTGACTCTAAAGGCAAAGAAAGTCAAGACTTCCGCAAAGAATTCTACTTCAAAGACAGTATGCAGAGCCTTCTACCTTGGCTAAAAGAACCAGGTCCGCATTGAAATCTAAAAAAGTGAAAGTAGTGGAGGAAGAAGATTGGAGTGAAGAAGAAGAAGAATTTGATGAAGAGAAGGATAAGATGGTTAAGTTTGGGAAGAGAACCATCTTGAAGGGAAGACTCCTCAGGAACTTGGAGGAGGAGGGTATGATGATGATGCTAGAAAAGTTACAACTGCAGGGTTGGAAGGACATAATCCTTCAGATGGATGGAAAGCTTGCCAGAACTGAGATTGTGGAGTTCATGGAAAATTGTGATATCAAAAATGGTAGAGTCACCGGTGTGGTAAAGGGTGTGACGGTGAGTTTTGATGACAAAGAGTTGGGAGAGATATTAGGTGTACCTGCTAAAGGGTACAACGATTACAAGAAGCTCAAATGGCCAAGTCTAGAGAATCTCCTTACCTCCCTTGCCATAACAAGGAAGTTTGGTGATAATGAAGAAGAGCTTCAGCCCACGGCTATATACAAAAGTGAGATGAAGCCACCCCCACAAAGTGTTGTTTGAATTTGTTAACAAAGTTGTGCTGCCTAGGCAAGAAAGGAGGCACATTGCCACATTCATGAACCTGGTCCTTATGAAATGTCTAGACAGTGAAAGGAAAATCAATTGGCTTGGATTTATCATCCAGCTTCTTGATAGGGTTCTGACTGGCACCAAAACTCATGCCATACCCTATGATTTTATTCTCAAAGTTGTACTTGCACACTTCAAGGTACCCATCAAGAAATAGGAAGTTGGTATAAGCAAGGATCACTATGGGGCAAATACTTTGACTGCTTGTGACTATGAAGTCCACACCACTCCTAAAGAACCTGGTTTATCTAAAAAGGTACCTGTGAACAACAAAGTCCAAGCCATGGTGCAAGAGAATGGGGCTAAGGATGCTGAAATTGAAAGGCTGAAGAAGAGGTTGGAAGAAGTAGAAACTGAGAGAGATGCTCTCAGAGCTGAGCTGAAAAAGGAGAAGGAGAAGAATGATAGCATTCTTCATGATATGCTGAAACTGCTTCGAGCCAAGAACCAAGAAACTGGTCCTTCACAGCCTTAAGACTTCCTAGCCTAGTTAGACAAACCATTGACCCGGATGGGATTTTTTTTGTTCCTTTTGCTCATGATCCAGTGTTTTTATTTCTCTTTATGCTTTGTGGATGACTAGTATCAATGACAATCAACTATTTTTTGTGCTCTAACTGTTTGTTGATTCTTCTTAGATGGCTAATATCATCAGATTGATAAATGATGCTTGACACCATGATTGCATTTGAAGTTGCCCCAGTGGCCATGAGTAATTTCTATTAAAATCTGGTTATGTAACATAATTATGCAACTTTTCGATGATTCCAAAAGGGGAAAGATTAGGTTGTGATTTTACTTTGGACTGTGATGTTTATAACCTAATGAATCTGGTTCTTGATGATTTGTGATTTTAAAATGGAAAGCATTCTCTAACATTATGTTGATGTTGAGCTGAGTTGAAACAGTGCCTATGCTTATGAAAAAGCATAGAGTTTGTCATCATCAAAAAGGGAGAATTTGTTGGCCCAAGTGAAGTTTGTTTTAATGATTGACAAAGGAACTCAAGCATGAACCAGGTCCATACACAGTGTACACAGACACGGGCAGATTCGAGCATAAGGGATACATGTGAAAGAGATAAGCTTAACTTGTTATATTTGATATCTCCTGATCGAATTGCATAATTGATAAGGAGAAGGACTCCTTACTCGAAGAGAACTTATCCAAGATAAGGGAAGGGTTAGAAGTTGAAGATAACTAGAACTCTTCCACCAAGGAAGAGTATAGCATTGGAACTCTAGTTATTTCCTATTCTAAAAACTCTATATATTTCAGGATGTTCTCACGTTATAGGGACGCACAAACGCTGAAGTTAAACGTGAGTTGAGAGCAAAATAGCAAGGCATTTTGCAAGCAATTCTTGTGTGATTCAAGTGTGCGAACCTGAAGCTACATGAACCTGATAGAAGAACCAGTTCCAAATGTCTGTCTTTTGTATATTCTAGTTGCATTGTAGTAGGTGTTTTCAAATTGTACCTTTCAGCTTTATCTAGAAGCAATTGTATTAGGTACTTTCAAGTTAGAGTTCACTTGAAGTTGTCGCAACAGTTAGAGGCTGGTTGCCACAACAGGATTAGAGGTAATCCTTAGGTTTACAAAAAATTTTGTAAATACTGTTTTGGCTCAGTGATTTAGTGAGTGTTGGGGAAAATCCTACTGAGTAGTTGGCCGTGGTTTTTTCACCTTTTGAGCCGGGTGCTTTCCACGTAAAAATACTTGTGTTCTTTACTTTTCGCATTTATTATTTCCGCAATAGTAGTATAAGGAACACATAGAAGAACCAGATCCTTCTATAATCTGTGCACACGAAAATTGGACACCACACAAATCACCCCTTTTGTGTGGCATTGAAGTATAAAATATCATTAGGAAAAGGTAACTCCTAGATTTTGTTAAGCCTACAAAATACTTTATTTGCTCTCAATTTATATAACACTTATTCTATTTTGAAATATGTCAAGTATTCAACAGTATATCATAAGTATAGCTTATACAACTTTTTCAAATATCCACTCTCATTTTAATTCCTTAGTTTTTAAACGCCAATGTGATGTCTTTTTTATCAAGCTAATTTTCTTGAAATCTTTTATCAATATTATAATCCGGAATTCAAATTTATATCTTCCATTTCATATCCGACGAAGGACACAAGTAATTAATAACTAGCAAGTAATTAATGGAAGCATGAATATAAATGAGGAGAAAAAACTATTATTTCTCTCCTCTTCAAAATAATGATGCTAATTTAGGAAGTCTGTATCGAAACAGGAAAAAGGAAGCCATCTTAGTTCAATTAATGCATTTATGAGACTTCATTTACGTTGCAAATTAAACATAAAAAGAAAAACATATTTATAGCAAATTTTAAAGGAATTGTTGAGAGTTGTTACAAAACAGAGAACACTATGTTGATGTTAATGTGGGAGAGAAGTCCATTATTTTGGACCCTCTTTCCTTTTATTTTCTTTGCTACCTCTTCCCAAGATAAACATGATGGTTCTTTTTCTTTCTTCCCTTTGTTTTAATCACCCTTATATATTATTGAAATACTTATATAAGAATTGGTGTAATAATACTTCGCACTGCTAAATTTAAATCGTGGATCCGCTTCTGATTTTCTTTTTCTCATTTCATATTCTTTGTATTTCAGATGGACCTGTTTATGATTCTTCAGCATGGACAGAGGTAATAAAGCATTTTTAAGAAGCCATACTACAAAAAATATCCATTTTATTGTTATATGAAAAAGGGATTATTACACAAATAGCCGACCAGATTCAATGTTTACTTTTTCCAGCTGGTATACATAGATTATACGTTGATTATACACAATTATACATATATTATACTAGCCTGATATTTTTAGTTTAAAGGTGAGCGGCTATTTGGGTTAATTCTTCCGTTTGATGACAGTGTCAATCGGATCAAGAGGCGCCACTTTACAATGGAGGAATTCTAGTGAATAAATTGCCTGAATATAAACCGGTTAAAGATATCAATGGAGATATGGTTAACTCACCTACTTTTACCTTGCAAAATCTATCTCCAGGCTCATTTTATTCCTTCTCCAGTTAAGTTCCTCTTAATTTCTTGTACTGTTATAATTATTATTGTTGTTGTCGTCGTCTTATTATACTGTTGTTGCTCATCATATTATTCTGAACTCAGTTTAAATTCTAAAAGTAGGACTAGTTTTTAAAGCATAGGTATTATTTGGCGTAACAAATTTTATTTTTCACAGGTTGGGTGAGAGTGAAAAATGTAGATTCTGCTCTAATATCAGCTACAATCAAAGTAGAGAACACATATGCAAAATGTATAGGAAGTGTTATAGCCAAGAAAGGATGTTGGTCTTTTCTCAAAGGTGGTTTCCGTTGGGATTCACCTTCCACCTCTTCTCAGATGGATTTTCAGGTACAATTTTCTTTATACTTGTTAAGTTATTTTTTCAAGCCCGGAAATAAAACACGTCTTAGTGAGATTACCCCCTTATTTGGGCCTATCCGGTGTAATTCTGGATTAGTCAGGCCAGTAGGCTGCGAATACCAGATGGTTAAAAAAAAGTACATATTTCCTTCGTCTTATATATCTCTTCTTTTTTTAACATCTATCTTTTTTATCTTTTGCAGAATTCGGATCAGACTAGAAAGAATGTGGAGATAGAGCTTATTAGCTATTCATTACAGCCATTCACGGAGAAGCAATGGAGAAAAGTTCAATTTGAAGGGATAAACACGGCAAGAACTAAGCACCATTTATGACTTAATTATTTGACTCAATATATGATTGAATGATTTTCTTTAACTACTACTTGTGCGAAATACATTCAATTAAGTTACATATATGCAAAACATTGTGTTCGCGATAACAGAAAATATAGTTGTTGCATTTCAGGAAAGGAAGCGTGCCGTTACTGTCCATGTTGTAGATGAAAATGGATTTAGATTGCCAGGTGCAGCAGTAAATGTAAAGCAAATTTCAACAGAATTTCCATTTGGATGTGCAGTATCAAAAACAATTCTTGGAAATTTGCCTTATCAGGTCTACTTTTTCTCTTCATTTGCTAAGTGTAACTGGTAAAATTATCACCATGTGACCAGGCGGTCACGGGTTCGGGCCATGGAAACAGCCAATTGCAGAAATGCATGATAAGACTGCGTACAATAGACCCTTGTGGTCCGGCCCTTCCCCCGTCTCCGTGCATAGCGGGAGCTTAATGCGTCAGGATGCTAAGAGTACAGTAGTTGCAATTATGCTATCAAAATTGATTTTCATTACAATAAGGTAAATAATGTTATTTCAGGAATGGTTCGCTAAGCGATTCAAAGCAACAGTTTTTGAAAATGAGCTCAAGTGGTATAAGACAGAGCCACAACCTGGTCAATTCAACTATACCTTAGTAGATCAAATGATGGAATTCGTTCGTAAGAACAAACTTATAGCTAGAGGACACAACATGTTCTGGGATGACCCTGTCTATATACAAGATTGGCTTGAAAACATGACCGCTCCTCAGCTGAAACGAGCGATGAAATCCAGGATCAAAAGTGTGATAAGTAAATACAGGAATGAGTTTGTACATTGGGATGTAAACAATGAACTTCTGCATTTCAATTTTTATGAGGGAAAGCTTGGACCTAATGCTACCTTAGATATGTTCAAGAAAGTGCACCGTGAAGATCCACTGGCGACCTTGTTTCTCAACGAGTACAACGTTGTTGAACGTTGTGACTCGAAAGCTAGTGTAGACAGGTACATTGAAAAGTACAAGGAACTAAAGAACGGCGGGGTGACTGTAGCTGGAATTGGTCTAGAGAGTCATTTTGCTATACCTAATCCTCCTTTTATGAGAGCTGTTCTTGATAAATTGGCGACGCTAAAGCTTCCTATTTGGCTAACAGAAGTGGACGTAAGCAAAATGTATGGACTCGAAGAACAAGCGATGTACTTGGAACAAATTTTAAGAGAGGGATTCTCGCATCCAAGTGTAAATGGGATCATGCTTTGGACATCACGTAGCGTAGGAGGATGTTATCAGACGTGCCTTACCGATGAAAAATTCCAGAACCTTCCGACAGGCGATGTTGTTGACAAGTTGCTATTGAAAGAATGGCAAACTAAGAAGAAACATGGCAAAACAGATGAGTTTGGTTCCTACAGTTTCAGAGGTTTCTTAGGTGAATACAAGGTTTCTGTTGTTTACAATCACAAAGTCATTAATTCTTACTTCTCACTTGGCCGTGGTGTTGAGACTAAGCACATTACAGTTCAAATTTAACCAAAAACTACTCAATATATATATATATAATGTAACTTTTAATAAACTGAACAAGAGGTAGTTCATTTTTCATGTAAATTTGTATTCTTGAAAAGATAAGATTTGACTCCTAGTAATGTCAAAATTTTGATTTTTACCCTATTTATTTTCATATGTCATGCTCATTTGACAGGTTCTGTTTTGAAATGTTTTTGCTTCACTTTTTTAAAGAGATTACCAGCTTGTCAAACCATTTACATAAAGCTTAAAATGTACAATATACAAGGTAAAAAAGATTACAACTCAACTACTGTGACTAACCTTTGACCAATGAAAATCAAGGAAACTACCAGCTATATCCATTTATAAGTCGTTTATTATAAAAATTGGTTAATTCATAAGATATTACTAATATTAGTCAAATATTACCAATATTAGCCAATTAGCTATTTGTAGCAAAAAAGAAAAGTCAAAGTTTTGCTTTCTTTTGAGTGGGTGTTATTAGAATAGATTGGGTACATCTTAAAGAGCTTGAATCTCAGTTTTGAGATGATTTGGTGGAGTTTTGAGGTGGTTTGAATTGAAAATTTGAAGTAGAAGATGGACATGAAAAAAAAAATGATATGCGTATCACATTGTGTATCAGATATGTATCATAGTTGTATCAAATGCGTATCACATGTATATCCATGTATACCTGTGTGTGAGATACATGTGGCGCACATGAATTCTTTGAACTCGATTTTAACTACGAATTTTGATACTAAATCAGTTCAAATACCCTCCAAAGTTCCTCAAATTTTGTATATTGACTCATCTTTATGTTTTCAATGAATTTCAACCATACCCATTGAAAAATGTGCTTTTTGGCTTAGATTTTTGGATATATTTTTTTTATATTTTTGTATTTCAGCACCTTGTTTGCTACCTCATCCATCAAATTTCCTTTCCGTGTTGCATCTAATATTATTGATCACGCTTCAAATTATGGAAGGAGATCTTTGCGTGTAATTCTTGAGGAGAAAGAACCTTATTTATTTGGGTTTTCAATTTTTACATGTGTTTGGCTAGTTTGGGTAAGTCTAAGATTAATGGCTAGAGATTGGTAAGTGAGGACTTATTTGGGACATTTATGTAAGATTCCCGAAAATCAACTACAAAGTTAATGAGGCAATGTCCTTTTTAGGCCTAGGGGAGGCAATTTGAGCCCAAACTCATTTGATCCCCAATTCGTCTAAGGTTGGTCCGGTCAATGACCCGCCCATTTATTGAACTCAGCCCATCTTCTTTCTCAGTCCATCTAAAATGGAGTGATTTTTAGCATAAATTTATTCATGAGTAACTTTGGTAAAATATCTTTACATATTTTTTTTGTTCGATATGTTATCTATGTCTATAACAAAAGAAAAAAAAATCTTATTTGATAATTAAACAATTCATAAGAAAACAACACACATTAATTAAAGCTTGATAAGAATTGGGTGGGTTGGGCTATGGCACAAATTTTAGCTCATCTTGACTCATAGCCTGTTTGGCCAAGCTTCTCCAAGCCAAAAGCACTTTTTTTCCAAAGTTAAAGTATTTGGCCGAGCTTTAAAGGGAAAAATATGTGCTTTTGAGTAGAAGCAGAAGCAGTTTTGAAGAAGCAGAAAAAAGTAGTTTCTCTCCAAAAGCACTTTTTTGAGAAGCACTTTTGAAAAAAATATACTTAGAAGTAATTTTTAAAAGTTTGGTCAAACACTAATTGCTGCTCAGAAATATTTTTCAAATAAATTAGCCAAATACAAATTGCATCTCACCAAAGGTACTTTTGAAAAATATTTCTGAGCAGCAATTAGTGTTTGACCAAACTTTTAAAAATTACTTCTCACCAAAAGTAATTTTGAAAACGCACTTTTGAGAAAAAACACTTCTCAAAATAAGCTGATTTTTGCAGCTTGGCCAAACAGGCTATCAGTCCATCTCAACCCAAGTAATTTTTGGGCGGGTCAATGACACGCCTATTTGTTGACTTAGCTCATTTTGACTTGCCCAAAATCAGCCCAATCCGCCTTTTTAACACCCCTATTTAGGCCTTTTTGGCCAAAGCAAGACATGGTTGCTCCACATAGTTAATCCTAATAGTTGACATTCATTTACTTCCATTGTACAATACTACTAATAAAAACTGAAGTGAGTCAACCAGACTAATAATCAGATGTCCTAACAACGTTGGCTTCCACCCTAGAGTCTATGAATGAGATTCAGAATCATAGTGTTTTGTTGATAAAGCAATTTAATCAAATGATATTGCATGGTAAAATAAAAGCATCATTTAGTAGATTTTACTGTCTTGTAAAAGTGGAAGGCCCTACCTCTTGTTCTTTGCAGGGTAATTCTAAGTCAAAGCATGTTCTTTATTTCAATTCTTGCTTCGCATATTTGTTGATTTCTTGTTAGGCATATGAAAAGAAAAGTTACATATACTTTTGTGATTAAGAATAAAGGTTATATTGAAAGAAAATGGACAAAGATTGACATCCATTATATGCTTTAATCATTTCCAAACGACAACCAAATTTTCATGCAGTTTGCTCCAAATCTAAGTCCAGAAAATAGTAAGTATCCTATGAAAATATGAACATCAAATAGGTGGCTTTTTGGAAGATTTTTCTTATCATTGGAAGTGGATATTGATCTAATTGAACAGTCCTAAGTGCTAACATATTCATTCCATGTTTATAAGGGGAGTGTATATATTCAGGCCAGAGGCGGACCTATGTTATAGGATGAGGGGTCATCAGTACCCGTAATGTTCAGTAAAAATTCCATGATTATATGTATATGTCTTTAAAAAATAGTGATTTATTAGTAGTGATACCCTATATACAAAGCAAATTTTGGTTGAATGCAAATATGCACCCCTATCTCTAAATTTTTTGCGGCATCATTGTGCAAATTGTGAATCATTATTATATTGGCCCTTGTGTGCATTAATACTATACTCACGCCTGATTTAAAAATGTCCGGTCTTGTTAAAACTAATTGAGTTGTTAATCATCAAACTAATCGCGTAGGCGCTAATCCACCTTTTCCTAATGACTAATCATCCTCCTTAAAGCCTAAATATGGTCTAAATTCTCAAACTAATGTGTCTGTCTATACTGGGTAAACCTACGCCATCATCCCTCTAACTCAACTTCTAATCTGGCACATAAATTAATCGACACGTTCAAATTCAACTTATTAAAGTTCTCTATATTTCTTCACACTTGTCCAAGCTTGACAGGGTTACGTATTATATTTGGAAATATTGGGTTCTTCAGTATATTACAAAAAGAAACTATATGAGGTTCAGCCAATCATAGCCAGTGACTAGATAACTTCATCCACCAGTTAGAGTCAGGAAAAAAAGAATATAAATAAAGTCAAATATATACACATATAACTAACACAAGCAGTAGAAATTACGTACGTAATTGACTGTTCATATTTCTGAATGCAATCAAAACATGTGAGCATTTAAATTAGAGTCTAAAAATGTGTGTTGTAAAGAGTGAAGAGGCTGAACTCAAGGTGTGGCCTAACCTGAACGAAGCTGATGAAATTCATGGAAAATCAAGATTTCAAATTCTAGCAGAGACACACAAAAAAATAAGAATATCTTTTCACTTAGCCTTAGCCGACGACAGAATTACGTGATACCTGTCAGGCACCCAATAAAATAATCAAGATGTGCACATGTTGGCTCGAGGTGGAGCTAGCCTGTTAGGTGCGGATTCGCCCGAACCCTATCGTTTTTGCTTAAACATTGTATTTGTATCAGAAAATTTATTAAATATGTATAAATATTTAATTGCGAACCTAATACCTGAGGCAAGCTGTGGGTCCTATGACATATTCAAACCTATAAACTTCAAATTTTGGCTGTGCCAACACCACTGTTATAAAAGAAAATGAAAAGAGTGAAAGATGGTGCAGAAGTAGTGAAAGGGGACAAATGCAACAGGGAATGTTTCTGGCCCCATGAAATAATATGTCTGTCTGCAAAGCGTGACATAACATAAGGATTGATATACCTGAATGGAGAGCTCTCCAACATACCATTAATATGTTTCACTTCTCTTTAATGGGTCCGCTCCACAAAGGGGTGTTCTTGTTTTTTCTAATAATTCAATTCCCAGCTTTTTTTGCTTTCATAATCAACAATTACCATGAATTTGTTTCATTAATCATCCTCTACTTTAATTTATTTTAAAGAAATCCTATCCCATCATGTTTCACTATAATAACATGAAGGATAGTCAATGATTCAAAAGATCTCTGCTACAAGCAGACGACAGAGAATATAGTAATAAAAGGTACAATATTGCACTTCAAACCAAAAAAATACAGATAAAACATATTAAAAGTGTACGTAGTACATTAAACTGTTTTGTCTTAACCCTGCCTTTTCTTTTCTTTCGCTTTCTGTTTTGTTGTTGTGAGAATTTTCTTTTTGTCATGTCGTATCAATATTCGTTATGTTCTATTGGTACCTTTAACTTTTCTTATCATTTATCCGACATCTCGTATGTCAAGTTGAGTTGGGGTCTTTAGGGCCAGGGGCGGACATACGGTGGACGGCGTCACGGGACACCGATTCGTCGGAACATTTTATTAAGTATATGTAATTATATTGTATCCAAACGAGTAACAAATAGAAAATGGCACCACTTGACATGTATCCTCATTTGACATGGTGGTTAGGTTCCTAGTTTTGCTTTAAGAGGGCGGACTAGAACATATTTTTGGCAAATATTTAAAGAGCCTCTTGTTAAAAATTGTGAAAATTGTGGTTAAGTAGAACTGAACTAGAGACCTCTTCTAACTTAAGACTCCACAAAATTAATGCACTAAGACTATTACTCATTTAGAAATATGATATTTAATGTTATTTATTTTACACTCTTATGCTAATATCGATTCCGCTTACAAAAAGTTCTGCTTACGCCCCTTGCTTCAGGGAGAATAGTTCACCTCAATAACTTTCTGAGATTTTTTAATGTGTAAATTTCTGATATTTGTTGACTTGATAATTAGAGTATAACC